GGGATGGTCACGCTGCAATCCCTTCTCCTCCATTCTCTCGGGATCTTGGGCATGCACACACACATGCCCGGCGTGAGTTCTAAGCCACCAGGTCCGGGACGCGAACCGCGGTCGACTACGTTGGGAGTCCAGCGACATAGCCATTACGTTAACTGCTGGTTCTCCCAAATTTCTGCTTTTGAGTCTCAGCCATATTTAAATATGGCTCCAAAGAAGCTATTGATTCCAAAGTTTGGTTTGACTGAGTTGACTCGTTTAAAAAAAACATCTGGGGGACCACCTGTTAGCATAATGGCTATGTCGCTGGACTCCCATGTAGTTGACCACGGTTCGTGTCCCAGACCCGGTGGCTTAAATTCACACTGGGTGTGTGTGTGTGCGTGCCCAAGATCTCGAGAAGAGAATGGAGGAGAAGGGATTGCAGCGTGGCCATCCCCCTAGGGGGTGATTTCTTGCTTTCTCTCTCTCTGTCTCTGTCTGGCGAGCACATGCGCCCTCTCCAAAAAAATTAAAAAAAAAAAATTAAGGAGGAATAGCAGATGGCATAATGCTTACATTGCTAGACTCCCACATAGTCACCCACAGTTCAAGTCCCAGACCCAGTGGCTTAAACTCACGCTAGAAACATGTGTGTGTGTACCCCAGATCCAAAAAGGAGAATGAAGGAGAAGGGACTTTGGTATGGACATGCCCCCTGGGGGATGATTTCTTGATTTCTGTTTCTCTGTCTCTGGAGAGCACACATGCCCTGTAGCAAAAATCTCTCTTAAAAAATAATTTGGATTTTAATTGTGCTGCAGACGTTATAGTAACAAATATTTGATTTTGCTCAGACATTACATCCACGCTGGTGGACAAGCTCAATAAAGGTCATACCCTCCCTCCAAAAGTACAGACTGAAGAATCCTGATTATGAGCATAAGGTTAAATGGTACAATAATTTTGATTTTTATCTTTTAATTTCTTTTTTTTTTTTTTTTTGCTATAGGGGCACATGTGCTCATTGTAGAGAGACAGAGATAGACGGAGGGAAAGTGAGAAATCACCCCCCAGAGGGATGGCCACACTGCAATCCCCTCTCCATCATTCTCTTCCTGGGATTTTAGGAACACACGTACATCTGGTGTTAGTGTCAAGTTGCCAGATCTGGGACTACAACCACAGTTGGGTATGTGGCACTCCAGTGCCTCAACCACCATGCCACCTGCTGGCCACCAGTATGATATATTTTAAAAGTTTTTCACAAAAGGTCATTTTAAAGCTGACTCTCTGATGAAATCAACTAGCTATTGATCAGCCCTAAGAGCTTTTCTTGTTTTGTGACATGAGGGACGGCTGGAAGGAGGTGGGCGAGAGTCATTGAGGCCGGCAGGACCCTCAGTCTGTGTCTGGACAGTCGCGTACTCCGCAGCACCACGAGGGCCAGCACAGCGCGGAAGACAAAGGCAGACGGACGGCCAGGGCCGAACCCCCATGCTGAGGTCAGGAGTGAGCCGGCGCAGCAAAGCCAGCCCTCAGCTCACGCTCCTTTCCTCCGGGTTGTATTTCCGTAAGACTTTATTTAAAAGTGAATCCTTTGTATTCTGTTCCATGATCCTTTGAGGAGAGCTGCAACTGGGACCAGCGTGTCACTGAGGACGGCACTGCTACCGTTCAGGAACGTGGAAACCAGGCACAGGTCCTGTCTGGGAGCGGTGGGGAAAAGCTCTGCTCCCTAACACAGCAACTAATATGTGCTACCCTTACCCTGGAGCAAACTCTGCCATCGGGAGTCCACCTGCACTGGCGCTGAGCGGAAACACGAGCACGGCGTGTCCAGTCCAAACGGTCCCGTGACGCCCGCCCGCTGCTCACTCCCACGCAGGCGGGCCAGGCCAGGACTCGCTCTGCCCGTCTGCAGGGGCACCGTGACTCGCACCATTCCAGCTCATGAAAAACGCCCGCTCGTTTTAATGGCTTAGATGACAATACTCTTCCAGCTCTTCTCCTCTGCCCTCCAGAGGCCTCTCCTGGTCAGCAGACCTCCTTCTACCCCACCCCACTATGAGCTGTCCCTGAATTTGAAGGGGCCTCATACCCATGGCCTTAGCGCTGCTGCTTCCCTGGGCACACACTTCCCAGACAGCCCCCCATTAATCATCTGAGTCTAAGCGCTGCTTCCAAGCCCCTGACTTCCAAATCGGTCATCTGCCAGTGCTTGGCACCCAGTTGGTCACAGACGCCTCAGATTCAGCCAGTCACGTTTGCCCCAAACACAATCCTCCCCAGTGCTTTCTGGTCAGCGTGTGACTGTCCACCCAGCTGATCAGGCCAGCAGGGTGGGGACTACGACCTACTGCTCCTCCTCCCTCACTTTAGCATCAGACCAAATAAGCAAGGCCCCTAGATTCCACCTGAGAACCAGGCTGTCTCCAACCCATGGCCACCATGCATCTAGACACGACTTTGACAACAGCTACCAGACAGAGGAGGCTCCGCATCATTCCAACCCGCTCTTCTGAGTCTCTCTAAATGCAGCGGATAGACCAATCTTTTTGTTTTTCTTTTCTTTTCTTTTCTTTTTTTTTTTTTTTTTTTTAGTTTTTGCTACAGGGTACACACACTTGCCGGGGAGAGAGCAAAAGAGAGAGAAAGAGAAAGTGAGAAATCACCCCTCGGCCAGGAATGGCCATGCGGCAATCCCTTCTCCTCCATCTCCTCTCAGGATTGGCCATGCAGGCACAAACACCAGGAATATTTTTCAAGTCGCTGGTCCAGAACGCAAAACACACAGTTGGCCATGTGGGATCCAGTCAGCTCAACCGCCATGCTACTTGCTGACCCAGAGAGCAATCTTCTAATTTCCTAGAAATTGCTCATTTTATCAAGCCATTTTCTTGCATGTCTGCCCACTGTCTTCAGGATTAAGGTTGGCCTCTCTACCACGAGTCATCTATGAGGGGCCAGGCCACCTCTCAGCCGCCTTCGGGCTTCACGCACGCCCCCTCAACACCACCTTCAGATAGATTCAGCACACCTTTGACCTCAGTAGCCTTACACTGTCTGCAGGAAGGCCGACTCCGACTGCTCGGGGCCAGGCCCCCTGCCGCAGGTTTCCGACCAAGTCCCACATCCCCCTTCCCTGAGGCCATTGGGATTGGACTCTCGACTCTCAGCTGTAGCCCCCCGCATCCCCGACACCTCACACCTGCCCAGACGCAGCAGGTGCTCCGGTAAGGACTTGTAAGTACGGGCTGAATGTATGAAGTGAGTGGTTTTAACTCATAATTACTAAACACACACACACACCCCATAACCAGGCTTGAAAAATAAAACCCATCTGCTCATCATTAAAAATGATTTTTGCCAGGTGAACAGTACAACAGAAGTTATTTTCCTGCTTGGGGAACTGCGTGTGTGAGTAAAAGCAGGTGAGATCTTACATGGCGGCATCTCTACTGTGCTCGCTCAAGAGCCTCGTCAGACCACAGCTGACAGGATGGGATGGAAGCAGGTTGGACACCTGAGAGAGCAGGCTGCTCCCTGAGAAGCAGCTGGGGAAGGCCCGCCCCACCCCAGAGGAGAGCCCTTCCTACCTGGGAAGCTCAGAATCAGGCAATACTTCCTAAGACTGCCTGGCTCCAGAGCAACGCCAATTTGCAAAGGAGCAGCTGAAATTAATCTTTAATGGGACACTCATGTTAAGCGCTGGGCCATGACTGCCCACCAGGAGGTTTACTGCTCATTTGCAAACACCACACCTGAACCCAGTGATCATCTAACTAAGGTTGTTTAAGGACAATGGCCTTTGCCCTGGCATGGGCGGACGGCTCAGGAGGCCACAAAGGGCTCTGCATTGGATTACTATGACGCAGGGCACGGCGGCTGGTGTCTGGTAGAGAGAACACCAGAGGAAAATGCCATCCTGCTAGGGATGAAGTTCACTTTCTCCAAGCTAACTGCTAACTGCTCCAGAGTCAACCTACCTGGACAGAGACGACGTAAGTAGATATCACCAATTCCATCATTCAAAAAAAAAAAAAAAAAAATTTTCAGCACTTGCCCAAAAAATGAGCTAAAAAAATTTAAAGAGATTTTTGCTATAGAGTACATGTGCTCACCAGAGACACAGAGAGAGACAGAGAGACAAGAAGCAAACACATACACACACACACACACACACCCGGGGGAGGCACACTGCAATTCCTTCTCCTCCATTGTCCTCTCAGAGATTTGGGGCATGCACACACATGCACCTGGTGTGAATTTTAAGTCGCTGGGTCCATGACTGAAACCACAGTGAACAATGTGGGAGTCCAGCGACATAATTATTATGCCATCTGCTGGTCCCGAGATAAAAATTTTAAAAAGGAAGGAAAACCATTCTAAAATTCAGAAAGTTAAATCCTTCTATTTGGGGATGGTTTTTGTTTTTTGTTTTGTTTTGGTTTTGGTCATTTGTTTTTATTTTATTTTTGCCAGTTTGGGTGTGTGTGCTGGTGAGAGGGACAGACATAAAGTGAGAAAGCGCTCTCTATGACGCACGGCCACACCGCAATCCCTTCTCTCCCTCCTTTCAGGACTTCGGGCATGCACACATGCCTGGGGTGTTTCTTCAGTCCCTGAGTCTGGGACTTGAACCACGCAGTCAGCCATGTGGGACCCAACTGCTTTAACTGCCATGCCCCGGCTGGCTCCAACGTGGGATGCTATTCTGGTGACGAAAATCAGTTATGAAAACACATGTTTATTTCCCTATAAGCAGCAGAGGGTAGAAATCGACAATGCACAGATCTGAGGACCCCAGACAGATGGGAGGCAGAAGACCTGAGTGCAACAGCCCCCCAAGGAGAAGAACCCTAAGAGAGGAGGGAAGTCCCTGGAACAGCCAAGGTCAGGCAACTTCAAGATCTGAGCAGCCCTGACGAGGCACAGGCTAGGGTGATGATGACGCAGGGAAGAAGACTGAGCAGAGGAGTGAAGACTGCAAAGGTGACCGGGGAACAGGAACCTCTTTGCAGCTACTTAAATAGTGTGGAGCAAGACCTGAGGCCCAAAACACAACCAGGAAAAGTCAGAGCATCAGTCGGCTGTAAGGTCAGCCTGAAAGAAGAGAGCTTCAGGGAAGCTAGCATTTTCCAAGTCATCGTCAGTGTTCTGGAGGGAACACAGCCATCATGTAAAGAGCCAGGCTCGACGGTTAGAGAAAAAGGGTAGGACGTGGAAGTTGGTCATTTTAAAACTAGCAATGAAATCCGTATGAATTGTTTTGGAGAGAAAAAAGTTCACAGGCAGAGAAACCCACCAGAGCCGCCAACTTGCCCATTTCCGAGCGAGCGTCAGGAAGTGGAGTTCCACCACACACGCGACAGCAGCGCCGTGTCTCTGACGCACGTCACAGCAATCGAGGCGCCACTCAGGAGTAGGGCAGGAGGCCTCCCGGGGCCCAGGGAGGCGCAGCTGGGACAGCACACTAGGGGGTCACGGCCGGAGCGGGACCAGGTCGAGGCCGTGCAGCTCCATCATGGTGGGACCTCTGCAAGTCGGCGCACCACTTCTGACCTTTGAGTTTTAGTTTCTAGTCCATAGAGCAGAGCCAAGAATAAGCCTGAGGATTCCCTGGGTCTGTGAGAATACACCATTGGCAGTGGCCAGTGGTACGGACACGCGAGGGCCAACAGCTGGCTGCCGTGCGGCACACACAGTAAGCTAAACGGGGAACACCTCACAACGACAAGCATGTCACCCAGCGAAACCAGAAATACAGGCCAAGAAGTGACAGTGGGGAACCCTCCACGTGAACTAAAAGGGTGGAAGTGGAGGAACCCTAACAGAGCAGGAGAGGGGTTTTGTAGTTGGTTTCCATCAGTCTGGCTCACTCCACAGTGGTGGCTCCTTGCCATGGACAGAGAATGGAAGGCTGTCCCCCGCTCCATTTGTTCAAGTGACTACAATCTGTACATAACCAAAGATGGAGAGCTACTCCACTGTAGAAGAAACGTAAGTTACAATATATTGGGTTGCCAGAAAAGTCATGATACATCTGTGTTTTTCTATGCAAAAACATGTCATGACTTTTCCAACCACCCAATAAATGTAAATGTTAGGGGAGGAGAAACTAAGGAGGTGAGGCTGTCATCACCCCATCAAACCACACCTCATCTTACCAGCACGTGTAGGAAGACTCCTGGCCCCGGCCGGCCCAGGCTGGGCTTGGCTGTGCTGGGCTGGGTGGCAGGTGCCTGGGCACTGTGTGAACACCAGCTGGGAAGGAGGGGGTCAGAGGAAGCCCCAGAGCGCCCCCTATTGGAGAGACAGAGGCTTGTCTGCAAGCTGCCAGGACCGCCAGCGCCTCCGCAGCTGTGGCTCACAAGGCTTGTCAGGAGCGAGAGCAAAGCTCTGGCCTCTGTGACGGAACTTACACATCTGGAACCTGATGTGTCGAGGCTGAGGAGGACGTTAATAGGACAACGACAACACTCGCTCCTCGCTTGACTCCCCTCAACCACACACTCCTGGAAGCTGGGAACTGCGCAAGGTGAAGGACTTCATCGGGCAGTAGCGTCCTCGTTTTTGTTAGTCTGCTGTAACAGAAGATGCTTACAATCGTTTATGGTTTCTAGTAGAGAAAATGGCAGCTTCACAACAAACCAAAAACCGTGTTGTAGATCTATGGAGCACGAAAAGGCTGCTCTTTGGGGACCGTCCCTCAGCCACAGGCACGTCCGTACGTAAGGCAGGTTGTGGCGGTGACTCCTCCTCTGCGCAGGACGGTAACTGAGTAAATGGCGAAGCCGCTGCAGGCGGAGTTTCTCACGTGTGCTGTTCACCACTCACTCCATGTGTTGTATTTACGGTCTCGTAAGTCCACAACACTTAGTGTCCTAGCCTGAATTTCAAGGGCTCAGGGCAGGAATTGGTGCCAGGACAGAAGATGCAGAAAGGGGTGTTGGTTACCCCGCCGGCAGGTGGGGCTCACTCCCACGGAGCTCTGGGCCCAGAGCTGCTGTCCACCTCCAGGGCTGCGAAGCTGTGGATCACCATGGCCATGGGTGTGGGGAGGGGCTCCCGATGCTGCCAGGCTTCCGGCCTGATCCGTTTCAGGGCCACAGCTGTAGAACTGAAGCCTTGGTGTTCTAAACCTTAGGGCCATGGGAGTCGGGGTTCTTTGATGCCGGTTTTGGGGAGCCATTGGCTGAGGGCTACTGAGGTCCTGTTTACCCCTGCATTTCCAGCAGGCCCTGACCGGAAGGCAGAGAGGCCTTGCAAGGCTCTGGTGAGGCCTCAAATACAAGCAGAGGCTGGCCTCTGAGGGATGTGGGCACTGGTCACATGCAGGCAGCTTTGCAGGGAAATACAGGCTCAAAGTC